GCCTGGGGTTCATGGGTTCAGATCTTGGGTGTGGACCTACATAACAGTTGTCAAGCCATACTGTGGCAGCATCCCACATAGAAAAAATAGAGGAAGATTGGCACAGATGTTAGCTCGGTGACAATCTTCCTCACTAGGGAAGAAAAAAAGATAGGTGTTAATCTCCTTTTCTCCTAACTTGTATGTGGGCCTAGAAACAGGTAAGGATTTCATATGATTATGGGAAAGACTAGTCAGAAGTACCCCATCTCTATTTTTAAAATCTTACTGAGATAAACCAAGCTCTAGCTAATTTTTTCCTGCCTTTAAATTCTTCCAGCATGCTATATTCTTATTTTGATGTAGCTCTCTCCTGTGCATTTTCTTGCACGTGAATCTTATTGAAAATACTGTATAAAGGATAGTCTCTGCAGAAATAGACACTAAAAATTCATGGAGTATTTGTTATATCTTAAAGATTTAAATTCAGCTTTTAAAGCATTTGACATTTTTCTTTCTTCTTTTTCAAAAAAATTTAGTCATTGAAGGAAAACCTTGCAAGGTGTTGGACCCTTACTGAAGCAGAGAAGATGACCTTTGAAACTCAGAAAAAGAACCTTGATACAGAAAATCAGTATTTAAGAATATCTCTGGAGAAGGAAGAAAAAGCCTTATCTTCATTACAGGAAGAGTTAAGGAAACTAAGGGAACAGATTAGGATATTGGAAGATAAAGGGACAAGTACAGAATTAGTTACAGAAAATCAGAAACTTAAGCAGCATTTGGAAGAAGAAAAGCTGAAAACACATAGCTTCCTTAATCAGAGGGAGACTCTTTTGGCAGAAGCAAAGATGCTAAGGAGGGAACTGGAGAGAGAACGACTAATAACCACGGCTTTAAGGGTGGAACTCCAGCAGTTAAGCTCTAGTCAGTCATATGGCAACACAGACTCTCCTGATATATTGACTGAAAAAAAGGAAATAGAAATCTTACGAGAAAGACTCACTGAGTTGGAGCGGAAGCTAAACTTTGAACAGCAGCGTTCTGATTTGTGGGAAAAACTGTATATTGAGGCAAAAGATCAAAATGGAAAACAAAAAACTGATGGAAAAAAGAAAGGCAGCAGAGGAAACCACAAGGCTAAAAATAAGTCAAAGGAAACATTTTTGGGTTCAGTTAAGGAAACATTTGATGCCATGAAGAATTCTACCAAGGAGTTTGTGAGGCATCATAAAGAAAAAATCAAACAGGCTAAAGAAGCTGTGAAAGAAAATCTGAAAAAATTCTCAGATTCAGTTAAATCCACTTTCAGGCATTTCAAAGATACCACCAAGAATATCTTTGATGAAAAGGGCAGTAAAAGATTTGGTGCTACAAAAGAACCAGCAGCTAAAAAACCAACAACAGTTTTTAGTGAATATTTACATCCACAGTATAAGGCACGTACACAAAACCAGAGGAGTAGAGGCCCTACTACGCACAGAGAAGGAAGGAAAGAAAAACCAGTTCACTTTGAAGAATTTGGAAAAAATACAAATTCACAGAAATGCAGTGTTGAGCATGACTGTAGAGAAAACTCTTTCAGAAAGGCTTGTTCTAGTGTATTTGAATGTGCTCAACAGGAATCCATTAATCTTTTTAATATTAAACTCTTGAATCCTGTAAGGATAGATGAATTTAGACAGTTAGTTGAAAGGTATTTATTAGAAAAACTGGATAGTTTTCATCATTGGAAAGAACTTGATCAATTCATCAATAAGTTTTTCCTAAATGGTGTCTTCATACATGATCAGAAGCTCTTCACTGACTTTGTTAATGATGTTAAAGATTATCTTAAAGACATGAAGGACTATCAAGTAGATAATGATGGAGTGTTTGAGAAGTTGGATGGATATATATATAGACACTTCTTTGGTCACACTTTTCCCCCTCCATATGGACCCAGGTCGGTTTACATAGAACCATGTTATTATAATAGTTTTTAACATTTATAGATTAGCATTTTTATTATATGATAAATTTTTTGGAATGTTACTATTTGTAAAAGTACTTTTTTTAAAAAGTACTATTTGTAAAAGTACTTTATTGCCAGAAAATTTAGAATAAATTGAAAGGTATAATTTTAATAGCTGTTACAAACTGAAAATTTCATATTATCAGTTTGACTTGAACAAATGGTTTAATTTCTACCTTAAAAATCAGTTAAAGATATATAAATCCTGTTTTGTTTCTTTCCATTATAGTTTATATGAAAAGACAATCATCTTAAGTGAAATTATTTTCCTTTAATCTTTTATTTATTTACTCACTTTGGAAAGCTAGGCGTGAACAATACAGATTCCGGTCTGAAATCAGAAGAGCTCATATATAACAATTCAGATGTCCGACTTATTTTTATTTGTCTATTCCATTTACCAACTAATTATATTTAATATACTTATTACAGAATTATTGTTGACAAAGGTAGAGGCATGATCAAAGAGGCAAACTTAGCAAGCCACAAGTTCTAATGTGTGTGCTTTATACATAACTTCTAAAAATAACTCTGTATCCATTGCTTACCAGCTTTATATTCTGTAACATGAAACTCGCCTAATCTTCAAATGTTAGCTTTATTTTTTACCTTTGAGATAGTTTATATATATATATATATATATTCACATATATATATATATTTGAATAAATGTAATGTGTCTATAAAATAATGAGACAGATTCTGGTGTCTTTAGTCCTTAAACATATATCCAGTGCCTATAATGAGCAAAGCACTGTGAGGCTGTCCTGAGGAAACAAATGAAAAATTTCCTGCTGACAGGGAGCTCAGAAGCTTTTGGAGAATTAGGTAAATATAAGAAATTAATTAGAGGTATGGAGGCATATTGTATATGGTGGCCTTAGTCTGGAGATGTTTAGGATGGCTTCATAAGTGAGGTGGCCTTTGAACTGAACTTTTTAAAACTGGCTTTTGAAGGAGATACAAGAATATGCCAAGCAGATAGGGTAGAACATTACACTCAAAGGGAATTTCATTTGCAGAGATTTGTAGATATGAAGACATGCCACTTGAAGGAGGCAAAGTAGAGCTAGAGTGTGAGTAGAAGAAAAGATTCAGATCATGACGGACCTCATTTTATGTTGAAGTACTTGCTTTATTGCATTTTGGATCACTGGCAGCAGCCTGGAGGATTGGTTGGCAAGGGTGAAGCCAGAAGCTAGAAGGTGGTCTTTGAAACAACGTAGACATGAGCTGATGAGTACCTGAACTAGGACAATAGTAGGTGTGGAAAGGAGCAGACAGATTTGAACAATAAATAGTAAATAAAATTGGTGGTATTTCTTGTGAAAGAACAGTAGAAACTAACAGTGACTTCCAGATTTCTGGGTTGGGTTGCTATTTGGATAGTGATTATCACTAAGATAAGGAATACCACATTTTGGGTTAAGGGGAATTGGAAATGAGAATTATACTTGGAGGTACCTGTTGACATCCAAATGGAGGGAATTAATTGGCCGTTAGTTATATGACTATCTTTCTAGCTCAGACTGTGTGTGTATGTGTAGATAGTCTAGGCTGGAGGTATTCATCAGACTTGGGGAACACCAGCATCTAAGGGGTTGTAGAGAAAGAAGGCTGAGAATGACATGAGTGGCATCATGAAAATCCAAAGATCATCTCAAGTAAAAGGAATATATGTAAGTGTGTCAGATGATTTTTTTTTTTTTTTTTTTAAAGACTGGATTTCTTAGCTGGGGAGTGTGTGGCCATGGATGGTGTTATGGACTGTTTCAGTGAAGGAGTGACAGAAGCCTGATTATAGAGATCTAGGAAAGTAGTAAATGCAGACATTGGTTATGAACCTTAGTAGTAAGAGAGAAAGAAAGAGACTGTTTTGTTGGTAAGAGATGTATACATATTCCTGCTGAGGGATGAAGCCAATGGGGAGGGACTAATTTTTACAGGAAAGGAGGAAAAGTAATGGAAACACATCTCATTATTTTATTGTCACATTTCTATTCTTTATCTGTTGAGTGTTTCCCCTTTTTCCAGTACAGTTATGTTTGTCTGTTTTTTATTTCTATAGGATAAAAGTGTAATACTCACTGAATCTTTTTGGTATGGTTATGCTAGGATTATACTTCAGATTAATTTAACATCTTTTTTCAGAGTAATCAGATAATAGATTAATGGAGAAAGACATTAAAATTATTTCTTGCTTAAATAAATTTAACTCTAACATAGATGAAAAATGTGTTTACTGCTTTCAGTCGACCAGATAAAAAGCAACGTATGGTAAATATTGAAAACTCCAGGCATCGAAAACAAGAGCAGAAGCACCCTCAGCCACAACCTTATAAAAGGGAAGGTAAATGGCATAAATATGGTCGCAATAATGGAAGACACATGGCAAATCTTGAAATAGAATTGGGGCAATTACCTTTTGATCCTAAATATTGACCATCATGATTAAGTTAAATTAGAAAACTGTAACAAACATGGATGCTTTCTACAATGTTTGGTGTTGAAATTAAGATGAAATTATCAAAATAATGTCTTTTTATCATTTCTAAGTATCAGTTTGATGGCTTTATATTATTACTCAGAAGCATCAAGCAAAAGCTTACTAACCTGCATTTTCCTGTAGCTTTGCTGAATTTTTTTTTTTGGCACTGGAAATGTTCAACTGTAGTTTCATTAAGGAAGCCAGGCATGCAACAGATTTTGTGCATGAAATGAGACTTCCTTTTAGTGTATGAGCTTAAAGCAAGCTCAAATCATACATGACAAAGTGTAATTAACACTGATATTGTGTTAAATTTGCAGTAGAGCTTGAAAAAAGTACATTATGATGGAATTTCATCTAACATTTTATAACCTTACACTTGCTTCTTGTCTTTTTGTGGGTTCAAGAGCCCGTTGACTTGTGAAGAATTTGCTGCCTTCTTATGAGCTTGCTGACTTGTTCTCTTGTGAAATTTCTTGCACATCTGAATATTGTGGAAGAAACAATAAAACTACACCATGAGGAAAACTAAAGGTCTTTATTTAAAATCTGGCATTGTATTAATACACAATTTTATACTTTGTAATACTTTTCATACATTTCCTCAGTAGTGATATGTGGTAAAGCACTTCATAGTTCCATGAATCGTACCCAAGTGTTTACTAGTGTATTTAAGTATCATCTGAACATTTCTACCCAGCAGTGTCTCTTTCTCTGGAAAATACCTAAACACAGTTCAGAATTTCATCTTCTGCTGAGTTTCCCTTTTAACTTCCGTTCATAGACATATACGTGACTTCCAGTCCGACCCTCTGGCAAGTGAGTGTGGAAGAAAACAGCAGTTCTCTCATAGTTGCTTGAAATTAGGAAAGCACTTATGTCCTAGAAGTAAATAAATGTTTAAGTAAATAAAAGCTATGTTTTGCTGAGTACTGTTTCAAGAATTTTAGAATGTCCTATTCTGATTTGCGTCTCTACAACTTTTTCTTAATTTTTAAAAGAACTGACTCTTGGTAAATAATATATATACCTTGATAGTTATAGAACTGGGGCTGATTTTGACTAGGGAAAAGACCACTTACAAAATATGGGAGTTGAAAGAGACCATAAAATTTTTTGTGGTCTATTTACCTGAGTGTTTGCTAAACTTGAAGTGAAATAAAAATACTGAGTTTTCCCTTTTTTCGCGTTTCCTTACCTCCTCCAAAACGCTGAAGATGATCAAGTGAGTAGGCAATGTTGAATCATTGTGAAACTCTTTATACAACCAGTTTAATGGATTCAGATAAAATATATCTGCTTCATCAAGATATTGACTTTTTCCAGTCAGGTCTGGGGGACACTGGAGAAATCTCATTGGAAGTGGGTAGTGGACGTGACTATGAAAAGAAAGTTACCATTTTAATTGCACGAAGTAAAAAAATTGTGAAAGTTTTCAAGTTACTCTTAAGATGTTCACTTAACAAAATGTGAAATCTGAATTTAAACTGTGTTTCAGTTAAGGTGAGGAAGCAAGCCTTTAATGCACTTTTCTCAAAGATGGAGAATATGCTTCTCACATCATGTACTTGTGCAGCAGCATAACCTCCAAGTCCAAACTAAGGCACAAAAGCCCATTTCAAGATGGGATGGTGGGTCAGCAGCTTGGGGGACTCAGTATTCTCTAACATTAGTATGCTGTTCCAGGAAGGTAAGAGGCCTCTTGGACCAGGTAGCTTCCTTGTTAATAAGACTTATTTGTCAAGATGGAAAACTAGTCATGAACTAGAAAGGATTCCTGCTCTCTTCCCTTTCTGCTCTGAAAGGGGATGGATCACATCCTTAAATAAGTTTTTCTTCTTTTTTTTTATTCTTACATATTTATATAAGTACGATTTAGTAGTAGCCGTATATGTTCACTAACACCTAAATAAGTAGTGGTTTTATTGTGACATTGAAAGACTAGAGTGTATGTAAAAAAAGATGGATGGACTGATGAATTATGACAACTTAAACTAGTTACTTGGGCCATGCAAAAAGCCATGTTTAACTTTGCCTCAGGAAAAATAAAAAATACGCTATAGAGGTTTATCGTATCTCTGAAATGCATACAAAGTAAATTTACACAAGACCTAATAATTCATGACTTTTATAATTTTGGAGATGAAGGTCTTGCTTCAAGGGGAAAGCAGAAACAGCTGAGAAAAAGCTGCCAGCCTTATATTCCAAAGTAGGTGTCAGACTTTTTTGCTCCATTCTGCACTCTGAAAAAATGTAAGATGAGAACTTGGTAAACTATGGAAAGCATCTTGGTACCTCTAGAATTCTTGTACTTTCCAGTGTTGTGAGCGTGGAAGGACAGTGAATGTCCTTCTCTCAGCTCTAGTCTTTTTTATATAGTAGAGGCCTCAACTTGAAGAGATACTTGGGGTTACATCTAACCTGTGGCTTTTGCTAGGCAATCCCAATTTTCCAAACTGTGTATTAATGATTTAGTTAAGTAGAGTATTCCAAAAGTGTTGTTACCTTAAAATAATATCAACGTTGATATTAAGTTGACTGAATGTGCACATGGAAGATTAACTTCAGATTGTTTAAAGCCAGATTAAGTTAAATAGGTGTAGAATTTTCTAAAGGAAAGCTGTTTGCTCTTCCCTTGTACTCTTACAGGGCAACTGGTAACCCATTTTTCTGAAATACATGCAGAGGGCCAAATGGATGTCTTTTTAAATGCCCTGCATAGTTGAGGCAGTTTTAGTGTTACATTTCCCAGGAACATCTAATTAGATACCATCTAATTGAATTCTCTAATTTTTACAGGCAAGACAACTGATCCAAAGAGATTAAAAAGACCGGTTTAAGATCAGGGAAATAATCCAGTAGAAAATCTAGACTAGAATCCAGGGTTTTGAGATTAATTAAAAATTGTATAACTATAAGATGTACCACCAAGATTTGTAGTAAGATCAGTGATAAATGAATTTCTTTCTTTCTTTTGTTTTTTGTGAGGAAGATTGGCCCTCAGCTAACATCCGTTGCCAGTCTTGCTCTTTTTGCTTGAGGAAGATTGTCACTGAGCTAACATCTGTGCCAATCTTCCTCTGTTTTATGTGGGATGCTGCCAGTGTGGCTTGACGAGCGGTGCTAGGTCTGCGCCTGGGATCCGAACCTGCGAACTGCGGGCCACCAAAGTGGAGCGCATGAATTTAGCCACTACACCACGGGGCCGGCCTCCTGAATTTCTTTACTGAGAATAACATCAAATAACCTATAAAACATTTTATACTACATTTAAATCAGATCATTTAAATGTAAGTTGTTTAAATTTTTGAAAATATTAAAATTTATTTAAAAGTGGTATGATTTTCATTGACATAGTTAAAATGGTTTTTAAAATTCCAGTGAATAAATAAAGATTAATAGGACTTTCAGATTTCTTATAATCATTTGACCAATTAATTTAAATCCAGGAATCTGAAGGGAATTTTAAGGTAGTCAGTTTCTTTTTCTTAATAGCATATAGTGGAACAAGTTTTATTACCTATAATAAGGAGTGGAGTGGCAAGGCATCATTACAAATAGTGATGCTGAAGATTTACTAGAATTGTTGTAGCAGAGTTCTTGAATATGAGTCATGACATCAAGAGTACCTCGCTGATGAACTAAACCAGTATAAAGGGCGAGGAGCATATTTGATAAAAACAGGAAACTCAGAGCTGGTTTCTTCCATGTTTTCAGGTGGTTTAGTGAGTATCCTATATGAAGATAGACACACTGAATCATAATACTGGCAATCTTGTTTTCTTATAGCTAAGCAATGTTAACTGCAAATACATTTATAATTGTTCATGGAAGTAGCATAAGCTGTATTGCTGTTATGGACAAACAAGAAACAAACAATAGGTCATCTTTGCAATTTCTCTGACCACTCTCTATCATTGTCTATTATCACCCAAGTCTTGACATTTTTACAGAAAAAGGAATTGAGGTATAGTGGAAAGATTATGGCTAGGGAGTCCAACAGACACAGATTTGAATTCTAGCTCTAGCACAAGTTGCTGTACTTTGCCGAACATTAGTTTCCCCATCTGCAAATGGGATTAGAAAAAATGTATGTCCAGTGCCTGTCCTGGTACACAGTAGTTGCTAAATAAATAGGACTTTTATTTATCCCATTTACCTATCTCTACTCTTTCATCTCTAGCAATGGATTGTATACATACAAGTCTCAGTAATTCTGGAGGAAGTACAGAAGAGTGCTCTTAGAAAAATAATCCACTAGGCTCCTGGGAGATTTTCAGTGGTTAGTATTAGTGATGGCATGGATCACTTTTTCTGGAAGAAGAGGAGCTATGTTTTTTTTTTTTTTTTTTCTCTTTCACTACAGTGTTGGTCAATTTGGAGATGCTGAAAATGTTTTCTTTTTTAATTTGTAAAAGTAATTCTTGTGTGTGGCAAAAAAACCAAGTAGAACAAACAGAAGGGTAAATGAAAAGTAAAAGTCCCTCTTCCCCTCCCAGAGTCCTACTCCTCAGCAACAGCCACTGATAATGAGCATATGAGGATAAAAGAATAGGCCTTTCCACTGGAAAAGAATGTTTATTAGTAAACTTCCTTGACATTTTGTACATACTTCATATGAATTGTCTCCACTGAATTAGGTAATAGTTCCTTTGAAATTTGGGTATCCAGGATCCAATCTGCTGCCTGCCTGAAATTTCAGCACTCATTGCCACTGTGGCCAAGGCACTGTTTCCTATAATCATCACCCAACTGATTGATTGCTATCAGCTGTCTTAGCTCGGCTCAATCACTAAAAATTGAACATGAATAAAATTCATCTTGAACTGTTCCCATTTAATTACACTAACATAAAGTTGGCCTAGGAAGGATTGTTTCTAAGATAAAACAGGAATAAATCAAGACCTCTAACTCACTTGAATCACATCTAGTACTTGATACCAACCAAAGACACTCATTTTCTCAACTTACCTTGTTACCAATTTAAAAACTATTAACATTCAGTTTTGGAAAAACTGAAGATACCTTTCCTTGTATACTTAAATGTTTATTAGTGATGGCACCCTTACAGCTTTTCTTTAATCTGTATTAGTTGCTTTGAAGATTATAAAATGGACTGAAAATAATTTCATCTATTTGAAGGCATCTGATACCTGACACTTGATAGCTGGAATCAAATTTGGGCAAGAATTCTTAGACACTCCATTTTTGTTTCCTCTATGAATATTTTAGATAACATTAGCTATGGTTCATTCCAATTGAGTAGTTGGAATATCACAGGGTCCATTCTCACCTAGAATTACTTGAAAATGCTCTGATTAACCAAAGAACATTCTGAAAAGTGGTGTGATAAAAAATGTAGGTAGATCAAGAAAACTAAGCCTACATTTAAAACAAATCTAGTTTATAAGATGTTTGAAATTGTAAAATGAAGATACTGCTAAAGAGTACGAGAACTAAAATTAGCTTTATTAGGACTGAAATGGGATTCTGGAAGTTCTGCCATCTGTAATAATTCCAGTCACAGATGTGACAGACCAGCAAACACAACTTAGAAGTGAAGTGCTTCCTCAAGCAGACAGGCAAAAACAAACTACCTAGTGGGCTCAAATTACAAACAGCTACGTTAAAGCTTACCCGGCCAAGGCCTGAGAGGATGACCTGCTATCGGATATTCAAGTAAGTATGATGTGGGCATCTGTAAAGTGGCTCTTCATTCACAAAATTTGTTACTAAATGTTCACTGAAAGTTTTCTTAGAAACTGAGTGACAGAAAACTGGAATACATGGTGAATGTTGTAAAAATGGCATTCTGAATAGACTGCTGGAAGAAAACGCGTTTGTATTCCCAGCTGCTTCAATGTTGAGGTGGGTCTTTTAAGTTAGATAATGCTTACATTACTTCGTGGTTATTTTCACCTTATGAAGCTAGCTCATTTTAGGATAGATTCTTCCACTGAGAACTGAATCTCCAAATTATTTGGAAAAATAATGTAAAGAAAATGCCAGGAAGAGAACAACAGTCTTGAAGACAATGAGGGTTTTCAAACCATCTGACATCGAAAAGTTCCCCGATGGGATTTCAGAAACTGGAGTTGCTAAAGGGAGAAGTGAAAATACATTACAGCTGCAGGGCTAGACTGAGTCACAGGAGAAGCCTAGAATCCAGGGTTGTATTCCAGGGAAGCAGTATGGTTTCTTTAATATTTAAGAGGTGATTAACAAGATCCAGTAAGTCTAGTTAATTGTACATAGAAATAACATGGAGATGCAGTTCTCACTGAAAGGAGTCACCCTGAAGTGAGCCAACTTCAGAAAGGGATAGTTACCCCGTGTAATGTAAGCATTACCTAACTTGAAATGTGAGATGCCCCTCCCAATTACGGGAGATTCAGGGAACACACGTTTTCTATCTGTCCTATAAACCACTTACCAAAATCTTGCAGCCTCTCAGGTAATTTCCACAAGAACAAGGACTTAGTATGAACCCCAGCGACTACCTCTCAGAATACAGGCCCCTTCATTTCACATAGTAGTTCTTGCTAACTCAATGCTAGATAATATCCCAGAATATTTAATTTGCTCCTGTTATCTGGGCCTATGAAAGATACTTTAAAGAGGATATATGGAAAATGTCTGCAAGAATTTACAAGAAAGTGATAATTATTTTGGGAAATGAGGCTTGATGATTAGATGATGACACTATTGTATGTTGGGGCTTTTTTGTCCATGCGTATTTATTTTCATAATAAAAAATACACTGGGTTCTTATCAAATCACTCTCATCAGACTACTGTTAAAACAAAGTATGTTAAACTCATTATGTCCCTGTTGACTACTCTCCAAGATAAAATCTAAAAACTTGAGTACATAAGAAGGCCCTTCATTGGGCTGGCCCGGTGGTGTAGTGGTTAAGTTCATGTGCTCCACTTTGGTGGTTCAGATCCCAGGTGTGGACCTACACACCACTCATCAAACCATGCTCTGGTGGCATCCCACATACTTCCTCAAGCAAAAAGAGCAAGAGTGGCAACGGATGTTAGCTCAGGGCCAATGGATGTTAGCTCAGGGCCAATCTTCCTCACCAAAAAAAAAAAAAAAAGCCCATCATGAGTTGGTTCCTTCTTTACTCAGCCATATCTCCTAATTTTCATATGTTATCTATCTTGATACACCCAATCGCGTTTTAAATTTTGTATGTTTAGTGTTGTAATCTGCATTCTTCAGCAATGGCTGATGAGTTCCTTCTTGCCAAGGTAAGGTTCATTGTAATGGACAGGGTGGGAGGGTTGGGGGCTGTACATGACTGATCCCATCAAACACTGAGGTGTAGCAAGGATGCATCCTCATTTTAGCAAGAATTATTAGAAAACCCAATCTAAGAACCCACAAAAAAAAATCTCTACCAAGTTCTACCAACTAGAGATATTTCTGAGTTAACCTTTTCATTTTTAAATGCTCCTTGGGAAAGCTGTAAGTTAGGTCAACTTAAATTCAGTATTTATATGAGAAAAACAAAGGGTAGTTTAATTCTGGAATGGGAGGTACAGGAGAATGGGCCTGGGGAAATGAGACGTTGAACTATTGAGAACGCACTGGGCAGACAGGGAGGTAACAGGAAGAATTTTACATTGCTACTTTGCTAAGGAAATAAAGCTGTGTTTTCATTTTCCATAGTCAGAAATCAATGGCTAATGCCAAAAACAGATCTTTAAGGGCATTATTGTCATTTTATTTTTATATAGAGAGAAATGTCAAAAGAACCACGTAAAAGAGTATACGTGCTTGCCTCTGGGGAGGGGAAATTGGAGGCAAGGCAGGGGAACCATTGCTTTTTAAAACAAACTCCATATAGAATGACTTTTGAAACAACGAGCACGTGCAGCTTTGATACAAAATATTAGCATATGGAAAACCAAAGCGGCTGAATCAGAGGCAAGTCTGCATTAGCCACTGTGATAAAAACAGATTAAGCAGACACCCAACCCAGAATTAGCAGCAGGTGCTGGAAACATCAGCACAAACAACAGAGGTTCAATCTAAGAATTTCAGTGCTAGTAGACCAATGGCACCTTTCTTTTACAGATAAACTGAGGCAAAAGGTTATATAGTTCACCACGGATCGGAGCCAATTATAGAAGGTATATTTTCTAGAGTTAAGTCCTATTTTGGATAGGACTGAGAGAAATTCAAGTTAGGCAAGATAAGTTACTGTAGATTGAAAAAATGGCTGCAATTATTCCTCCTCTTGTGTCCAATTCCTGCACGAGCCTGAAGTTTATTTCTCATCTCTTGAATCTGGCCTGGCTTTGTGACTTGCTTTGACCAAAAGAATGTGGTAGAAGTAACTGTGCCAATTCCATTCTTGAGCCCCAGAGGGCCTGGTACACTTGTGTTCCCTCTTTTCGAACTCTGCCTACACAAAGTGAACAAGCCCCAGCTAGCCTGCTGGAGAATGAGAGCACACAGAAGAGCTGAGGTACGTTGGTCTACAGCCAGTTGAACCCCAAACATGTGAGAGTCCAGCCTATGTCAGCTGAGTTGTCTACCCCATATGCAGCTGGTCATACTTGCATAAGTGAGCTCAGTGGAGACCAGAAGAACTGTCCAGCTGAGCTAGTCTTGTAAATAATAATAAATGGGGTTTTAAGCCACTAAGTTTTATGGTGGCTTGTTACACAGCAATTGCTGATAGAGATGTCATGTTTATAGAAAATCATGTTAAAATAGGTCACACAAAAATAGAATAAAACAGATTTGAGGTACAATATAACTCAAGATTTCAAGTAGTTAGACTCAAACTAGGCCATTTAAAAGATCAAGAACACCAAAGAAAACTGTTTTCTTACATCATTCCTGAACATTCTGCCTAGGTGAGCTCACTACTTGGTCCTACTGTTGGAACCTGTTGGCATTAAAGAGTTCTGACTCATAGTGGAAGTACAAGTCTCCTAGGAATCAGAATCTCTTGGCTCACTCAAGAACCTTAGGTATATGTGCCTGGAGGAAAACAGCACAGCCTGTGAGAAGATCAGGGGTTTCACTAGGTCTCAGTGCTTTATGGGTCCTTCTGAGTGGACACTGGATGGCAGAAAGGCTGATCCCTGTCCATTAGAAGAGGATCTCTTCAACCCTCAACAGCATCCTGTCTCAATCTTGGGGACTGGGAACAAGGGGTTACCAGGATCGTGCCACTTCAAGATTCAATCTTTTGGACCAAGAATGAGGATTCAGATAACTCATTCTTTCTCTGGAACACTTTGTTAAAGACATAGGGCACAAAAGTAGAATGCTGGAAAAACCCAGATTAGAAAAATGGAACCAAACCAAGTTCCTAACTTAACCAAACCAAACCCCCGCCCCCCCCCCCCACACACACACAAATACACACAAATATTTGTCCTCCAGTAGTGTGGCAATGCTCACCTGGGCAAAAACCAAACTTGATTTAATTATAACTCTAACTCCAACTCAAGTGGTTGTAAAAAAAAAAAATTGTTTTTAAATCTGAATAGTGATACATGAACAGATTTGCTCTGGTAAATGGGCCCACTATTCTTAAGACTTGCCAAATAGCTGTTAGATACCTCTATTTTTATATGTGCCTGCATTTATATATGAAGTAACTTTGGTCTCAGTACTTCAGATATAGCAAATATATAGATGTGTATGTATTTAAACTGAAGAGAGTACCTGCATCTGAAATCTGTAAGAGGTGATAGATACTTGGTGAAAGAAGGCTGCTTAACTCAATGGGTTGTTTGGAGTTTTCTTTTTTTAAGTAAAAAGTTTGATATCGTTAACTCCCTAGTTTTTCCCAGCCTCCAGGCCCAGTTGATTACTCATTTCTTCCTTCCCCAGTCTAGTGATGTTTTTAGTGATTAATATTTGAAGGAAGCCAGCAGTTGTTTATCCTTAATTGAACTTGAAGTTAATAAAGTTTCAATTCATAATATTTCCAAACCAACCAATATAAAAAGTCATATTTTCCAGAGCTGAGTAATAAGACTTTAGAAGTCACATGTAAAAAAATTATTGCAAAGATGGAAAAATGGAGAAAAGGCCAAAAAAAAAAAAAATCAGAGGTGTGAATCACTTAAAAAATTTCATATGTATTAAAGTGAGTCTTAAAGGGGCAGATCTGTTAAAGCATTAAAAATTAGTTTCAACAGCTATAAATACGTTTTTCATTTGTGGAATGAAGAACTTCATAGTTTAACCATAAACTTAAAACAGCTGTTCTAAAATAGACATATTCCATTACTTTTGAGTAACATATATCTAACAGCCAGAAATACCACAACCAAAAGGTGCTCTGGATATTAGATCCTCATGTGTTTATCTCACTTTAAAGGACACAGGAAAAAGGACATTTTTAAGCTGCAAAAAGGGAATACTGCAGTAATATAATTTGAAATTAAGAAGCAATTCTCATTTAGCCTAGTTGAAAATAAAGAGTTTAATGAGCATTTGTCTTTTAACTATATCTATATAAATAAACTTCTTCTATTTTAAACAAAAATACTTACCACAGAACACCATACAAAATGGTAAAACTGGGTAGATAAACCTGAATTCTTTGTGGCTCAACATGCTATAATAAAAAAAAATATTAAAAGGAAATATTATTTTCTCACATTACATGGCAGTTTGGGAAATTACTGTGTATAAAATGAAATATTAACATGATCTGTTTTTCTAAGTACGAAGACTGAATTTCATGCTTCAGGAATCAGTTGAAGACTGAATTTCATGCTTCAGGAATCAGTTTCATTATTTTTTAGTTATAAGGTGGTGATGATGTATTAAAAGTAATCCTAACATTTAACGTCAATGTGAAATTCTAAAGTACAATTACATTCTAAAAAAGAGATTTCTATTACCAATCCAAGTGAGTCATATTACTCAAATTTAGGATAAAGGTACATATTTTCATTTAAAAATATTTCTTCTCTAGTCCTTCAATATTTAAAATTTTGGTAGTTTCTGTTTTTTAAAAGTAAATAAAATTTGTTCAACTTTAAAAAAGTTGAATGTGTTCCTTGTTAAGCAAACTATATGTATCAGAAGTATTCATTCTATCTGAGCACCAGCACAATTATGACCTTTTCTGTCTGCTAAATAAACCCCACTAACAAATCATAAGAGTTAATGCATCTCCAAAAGATAAAGTGTACTTTTTAAAGAATTTAGTTAATTCAATTTCTTGGTAAAATTTTAAAAATTAACCACGTGAACAAATAAAATCTTACCTATAAACTAACAGCGTCCACAGCACAGTCATCAAAAGTATCCGGTACCTCTTTGGGGCTAGAAAGCAGCCATGAATAAAGAAGGGTAAGTGAGGACCCAAGACAACTGGAAATCCTTGAGTGAAGTACCAATGCCATGGATGAGAACCATAAAATGTTCCCAAATTCTGCAGCACGTTAAATTTCAAAAAATTATATTGAACCAGAGTCCACTGACATAGTTGAAGGAAAGAGAAAGAGAAATGTGTTAGTGCCAAGCATGAATGTTTGGCATTAGGGAATCTGGCAGAATCGTGACATTAAATCAGAAATGAAGTCTAAAAACCAGACAATAGTTTACATTAATTTTGATTAATGACCATATGAAATCATTCTTTATTATTTTTTTATGTTCTAAGTATTAATGTGTTCTTTGTTAATTTGTAAAACACTAGGTTTTTGAGATTCAAGAAAATATGAATAAATGTACATATTTTGACAATGTAAGTTTTACATACAATTAGAGATAAAGAGAATCCTTAGAAATAATATTTATGAGTGTGTGGTACCCATATTAAAAATTTTACTCTAGTACTTTATGATATCACACATTACCGTTTAAGATAAAGCCTTGAAACATTACAATTTGCATTATAGCACACAGCAGGTAATAATAACAGCAGCAACAGCAGCAGCTAACATTAAGTGCTCACTTGTACCAGGCACTGTTGTAAGCCTTTTACACGCATTATCTCATTTAATCCTCCAACCTTAAGAGACAAGCACTCCAATTATTTCCAGATAAGGAAACTGGCAAGAAAGGTACAGAACTTATCCAAGGTCACACAGCTATAACTGAGGACACTAAACTTCAGACTGTGGCAATCTGATTCCAGAGCCCATAAGTGCCTTAAAAATAGGGACCTTAAAAACCAAAGGCCATTACCAACAGTCATGAGATTAAAATATCAAACCAAATGGTTGAAGAATAGGGTATTCTGGTTAATTTGAATTCTGAATGATTAACTTGAGGTCAACTAAAATCATTTAAAAATTTAACCTTTATTGTTACAGACCTGAGAAAAAGTGCTTTTAAATGGACTCTTTTGAACTTCAATGAGGAATACACAATTCTTTTATACAGAAAGCACAGCAAATTGAACCAAAGGCATATGCTCGTAGTTTTTTTTAATGTATCCCATATCATTTTTAAAAAATGATATGCCTGTGTTCCCAAATATTCATGGATTTAAAAAGTCAGGTTGAGTTTTCAGTGTAATAAATGGTTAGATTAAAAATAGCTGTTAGCTTAATATATTTTTACTTACTTGACCAAAAAAAATACGATCAATTATCAGAGACAAACTCAAAGTTAAAAATCTGAAAAACAAAATAGAAGGGTAATTAACATTCTGAACTTGCTAGAAATCCAATATTGGCATACAGCTTTGCAAGTGCCTTGCATCTAAAGCCGCTTTAAAAATGCTTTACAGTTTCACCAATTGAATAGGAATTTACACATTTTGAAAGTCTTTCATTGATAGCTGTATTTAAGCAACCTTTTTAAAAGTAATAAACGCTATATTATCTATTGCTGCATAAAAAATTACCCCCAAACTTGGCAACTTAAGACTACGAACATTTACTACTTCAGAGTTTCTGTGGGTCAAGAATCCAGGCACAGCTTAGCTGGGTGTCTCTGGCTCAAGGTGTCTCATTGTCAAGATGTCGGCTGGGGCTACAGTTTCATCTGAAGGCTCTCATTATTTTTCCCTATAGCACTTACTGTCTCTTGACAAATATATATTAGTCATATGTTTTTAGCTGTCTGTCTTCTCCAACTAGAATGTAAACTTCATGAAGGCAGGGACTTTGTTTTGTTAAACTGCTGTATCTCCAGCATCTGGAATAGCACCTGGCACATACTAAGATTAAATAAATATTTGCTGAATTAATGTAATACATTCAAAACAATCTTAATAAATCTGAGAAATGACAACAGTGGCAAATTAGCCACCAGATGATTTCGTCCTTTGTAACGGCTTCCAAAAAATACTTGTACAGAGTGAATACTAGTAAGACCACTGTTGTAAGATTGCATCATGTTCACCACCCAAAGACTAATTACAACCCATCATGACACACATGTGCCTAATCACCCCTTTTGCTCTCCTCTCTCCTTGCTTCCCCTCTGGTAACCTCTTCCTCTATTTTGTATGTGGGACACCACCACAGCATGGCTTGATGAGTGGTGTGTAGGTCCGTGCCAGGGATCCAAACCCATGAACCCTGGAATGCTGAAGTGGAGTGTGCAAACTCAACCTCTACGCCACCGGGCCAGCCCCTGGCTAACTCATTTTTAATTTCACCAAGCCCTCTGTTTATTACAAAATAAAAACACCTGCATTGCCTAGATCCAAGAATTATGAAAACCATGAGGAAATACATGAATACATATTATAAATTATAAAGCCCTATACAAATATAAAAGAATCAAGTATCTCTAAAATGTACTTGAGAAATATGTAGGAAATAAAGCATAGGAATGTTCTAGGAAAAATTGCAAAGATCCTCATTTAAGCGAATTAAAATACAGTTAATCAAAATCATAAATATAAAAATATAAAATATAAATTTGGAAATATTCTGTTTCCTTGGTCTGACAATTCTTATTGACATTAGAAGATATAATTGACTAAAAGATGTAAAATCTCATTCATAATCTAATATCTATAGGTTATTAAAATTAATAGATGGATTGTAGCCATACTTACCCTACAGGTAAAAACTGATAAAGAATAAGATCAAGCTTTCTGTGTTCTTGCAAGAAATGTCTGAGGAGCAGAGGTATCCACGGAATGACAGCTGTGGGACGAATTATGAAGGCAAGTGCCACCAGGGATGAGTACTTGACACTACAGGCAAGAAAATGTGTTGTCAAGACAAACAGGAAACGAGTTCAGAAGTTATCTACTATTTACACTGTGATATAACATTTTTTGAAAAAATGAGAGCATTTTCCTTTTGGTATAAATAGCTATGTGAACTTGGGCAAGTTACTTATCCCTTCTAGCTCTTAATTTTTTTCATCCATAAAAAGTGGTAATATCTAAGGTCTTCTCCAGCTCTTAATATCCTAATTCTAGTATTTTCAAATAGTTGTTCTATGTCTTCATGTTGGTCTTGTTTGCTGAAAGGTATACTTTTAACATTACAACTCTGCCAGTTGCTTTCCTGATGAAAAAATGATCAAGTCTCTCCTAAGGAGATAAAAGAAAGTCACACAAAACCATTCTCTAAGAACAAAAACCAAGTGTGTTTAAAGAAACATTATGATTATTTAGGCAACAATGGACTTCTGGGTATATATAATTTTGTTTTGAAAGTAAGCTACTAATTTTATCCAACTGAAAGATGTATATGTATAACTGATAAAAAGTCTACTACACAAACCTATATGATTATGGATAGAAATGTAGATTTTTACTATTAGGACTTCTCTCAATAAATGGCTGAAGGAGCTTATCTGATAATTCACTCACGAGGACTATAGACAGTAAATTGTCACATGGAAATATACTTAACCCTGCTAAAAACTGAAAGCAAGCAAAATAAAACTTTATGGTACCATTATATACCTATTAACTAAGAAGTAACTATAAAGAGATTTCTAATGGTGAAGATGTAAGAGCAGGGATTTCAAATTCAAATGCTTACAGAGAGCAAATAAGTAATAAAAATGAGGGGGCTCTGATATTGTCATGAAGGAATCCTGGTCCAAAATGTTGCTAGCCTTCCATTTTTTCAAGAGAAACCAGAAATCCAGATTTTATCTAAGATCTCCCAATTTAAAAACTTTGCCAAGTAGTTTACTTTTTAAAAAACACTGTGCAGGTGAAATAAAACATATTTCTCGCTTGGTCTGACTTGCAGACAGCCTAACTGCAACTTCTGTATAGTACATACCTAGAGGACGCCCAAATGTATATTTCTAGTCCTAACCTCACTCCAACTTTTCAGCCTTGGATTTCTTACTCTTTTCTGAGTATTTCTCCACAGATCTCTGGCACTCAGAATCAAAGTGTCTCTTTTCCTCAAACCTGTTCAGTGTCTAGTATTTAAGTTAATAGTATCACTCAGTTTCTCAGTCTTAAAATTTTGGCGTCACCTTAAATAGCAAATCTCATCCCACACATCTACTTTGTTTCCTTTCCATGCCCACTGCCATCATTTTACATCAAGTCCTGTCACTTGTCTGGAATCTTCTCATAGTGTTGTCTTTTTTTTCGTATTGCCCAGAAATATTCCGTAACTTAACAACAACATCATTGTCATCATCAATACTTACTGAGCACTTACTTTGTAATAGGCCCTGTGCTACACACTTTCCACAGATTCTCATTTAATTCTTATTAGAGCTGTTTTCTTATTTGCATTTTACAGAAATCATTGCTTAGATGTGCTCATACTATCCTTAAAGAAATATTTCATTTATAACATTTGCATTTTTAAAGGAGTTTGCAAAATGTCATTTATTGTCAGGCCAGGAATATTTGTCATGCTTATCCAGGAAAGAATACTTATACAGTAGTCCTTTGTCCCACATGACCCTCCCGTCCTGACTGAATAAGGGGAGTGCATCTGAGCCCAGGCAGCCAATCTAAGGCTGGCCAGCGTTAAACCTATGTCCAAATAGGGATAACGACATTTAACAGACCTAATCAGATTCTCTCCAATTGAGTATGAGATACAGAGAAAGTTGCACAATTGGTAGCAAGACTAGAAGTGAACAGAGAGTAGCTAAGCCTCAAAATGATGGACAACTATGACAGGGATTCACAGACTGGACTATAAAGAACAACATAGCAGCTCATGCCTTGAAACTGTCTGGGATTCTGCGTAACCTTCCAGTTCATTTGTGTGGCTGAGATGTTCTACAGTTTCTTCCAGGCCTGGCCACAAGGCTAAGATGCCTATTTTCCTTATTTCACCTTTAGCCTCTTAATAAAGTCCTCATCAATAGGTAACTTAAGTGAATGCCTTTCTTGCAGTCAAGAGTCTAATGCAGAAATGATCTTGATTTGATCCTCCCAACAATTGTTTCATTTAGGAACAATGGATGCTAGCTTCTTCACTAGACTCCCAAATTTTCTGGCTTTCTCCCTTTCAGTATATCCTAAATACTGCTGGTACAAGAGAATTCCTCCTTTTTCTTTTTCTTTTTTTTTTTAATGTTGAGTTTTGGGGCTGGCTCAGTGGCACAGTGGTTAAGTTCATGTGTTCTGCTCTTGTGGCCTGGGGTTAGCCAGTTTGAATCCTGGGTGTGGAACCTATGCACCGCTCATCAAGATGCTGTAGCAGTATCCCACATACAAAATAAAGGAAGATTGGCACAGATGTTAGCTCAGCAACAATCTTCCTAACCAAAAAAAAAGAGTTGAGTTTTTTTTTTGTTTTCTTAGTGAGGAAGATTGGCCCTGAGCTAACATCTGTTGCCAATTTTCCTCTTTTTGCTTGAGAAAGATTGTTGCTGAGCTAACCTCTGTGCCAATCTTCCTCTATTTTGTACATGGGATGCTGCCACAGCATAGCTTGATGAGTAGTGTAGGTCTGCACCTGGGATCCGAACCTGCGAAACCTAGGTTGCTGAAGCAGCATGCACAAATCTAACCACTAAGCCACTGGATCAGCCCCTAAGAGAATTCTTTCTAAATCAGATTTAATTATGTCATGCTTCTCAAAAGCCTCCAATGGTTCCCAACTACCTATGGAATAAAGTCCAAATTCTCGAGGAGGGGAAAGTCCCATTCCAGCCTCATTCCTTATTATTCTCTTCTCCCATGCATCCTACACACACTAGGTCTCTGGACAGCCTTCCCAGAATACAACGAAGCCCTTTTACAGCTCTGCACTGTTGTTCATGTTGTTCCCTTTGCTTTGTATTTGCTTCTCCAGTTTATATAAGCCCAAATAAGGTCCATATATATATATTTTTTTATTTTCTTCTATTCTTTTTTTGCTGAGGAAGATTCACCCTGAGCTAACATCTGTGCCGGTCTTCCTCTATTTTTTAGTATGTAGGCCTCCAACACAGCCTGGCCACTAACAGAGCGGTATAGGTCCACACCCAGGGAACTGAACCTGGGCCGCCAAAGCAGAGCACACAGAACTTAACCACTAGGCCACTGGGGCTGGCCCCCATATATTTTCTATTTGTCCTTCCTGATCATCTCCTCTACTCTTCACCTGCTCTATGTATAGGGAGGCTGACCTGTATGGACTATATCAATGGGCTGTCTTGCTTTCTGGCTTCTGAATGGCTTTGGCTAACTGGAAAACAGGAGTGTGCAATCAGGGTATTTTATTCTCCCCTGCCCCTTTGCCATAGCTAAAGGCTAGCTGTGCCTGTCTCCTGTTGGGGCCCTCTTAAAGTTACAGTTCTGTATGGATTCTAGTAACACTTTCCTCTCCTTGCTCCTTGTGGCCAAGGGGTAATAAAAACTTGCTGTGATTAGCCCTGGGGTACTATGGTATCCCTTATTGTCTTCGCTAAATATTGTCTAAACCTTTGTAAATGGTCCTTTAATTAAACTCTCCTTAATTACTCAGTTTGAGTATATCTGTTTCCTGATACAACAAATATATCAACTGAAAATCTGTGGTTCTAATAACCTTCATGTACATTAGGGGTTCCACTGGACATTAAAATGTTGCTATTTAAGAGTTTTCAAAAGAATGCTTTAGAGTTTTGTACATAATTATTAACAATAATATATCTTACCTGTTCATAGACTTTGAACCTTCCAAAGGATAGTAGAAAAGAGCAATTATAGTGAGAACAGTTTCCATGGTGTTTGTAAGAGTTCTGGTACAGCAATACCATGTGAACCAAGAGCATAACTGGCAAAAAAACTAAAAACAATCATGAGCAAACACATACGGAAGTGGGAAATGGAAAAGATTAGTATTATCTTCTTCTACGGAAAACTGCAAGCAAGTCTAAATACTGCAAAACTCATATCAAAGATAAGTGATGTTAAAAGTAGGCATGCCCAAACGTTATTTTTAAGAAGTTATATCAAACACAGGTCTACAACATCAGATCTATATTTGTTAAAGTTAAGAAGTTTATACTTTCAGGTACATTTTTATGGCATTGCATTTGATTTAAATCTCACTTCCTACTAATAAAAAACATACAACACAGATTCTTTGATGGTAGAGTTTATAGAGGACTGAAATTCATAACTAGATTCTCCCAATCAGTATTCCTCAAGTTGTCTTATATTACCGACAAGTATTTTGACTTTTTTATTGACCTTGGTTTGGAATGTTGCCCTCTTTCTTGATAAAAATTAAGACAACACAGGAAAGAAAAAAATGCGACTATCAGGAGACATCAAGTTTTAATCTGGAAATTTATTAATACAGTCTTGTGCTGCATAGCGATGTTTCGGTCAACGACGGACCGCATATAGGATGATGGTCCCATAAGATTAGTACCATATAGCCTAGGTGTGTAGTAGGCCATGACATCAAGGTTTGTATAAATACACTCTATGATGTTCACACAACGACAGAATCGCCTAATGCATTTCTCAGAATGTATCCCTGTTGTTAAGTGATACATGACTGTAAACCAGTTTTTGGAAGAATATGCAAAAGCAGCATCATCAAGTCTACAAAACAAAGGTCTTAAAAGAAACTTGTTAGTTGATGCAAGGTTGCTTCCTATCTCTTCAAATATAGTCTTTAAAAAATGTTCCAATTTTGGTGGAGTTAAAGGTTTTTCCTAAACTAGAAAAACCTAGTGCTGCTACTTTGGAGGAAGGATTTCAAAGGCATAACACCTTTGCCATTTCAGTTTGAGTAAGCAGCAGTGTATACAAGCACAAAATAAGGAGAACGACTTTATCCTTGAATCAATTAGCAAGGACTCAATTGATAAACCAATTTATCTTTTTTATTTTTTGAGGAAGATTCAGGTCTGAGCTAACATCTGTCACCAATGCTCCTCTTTTTGCTGAGGAAGACTGGCCCTGAGCTAACATCTGTGCCCATCTTCCTTTACTTTATATGTGGGATGCCTGCCACAGCATGGCCTGCCAAGCGGTACATAGGTCTGCACCCAGGATCTGAACCAGCGAAGCCTGGGCCGCCGAAGTGGAGCACGTGAACTTAACTGCTACGCCACCAGGCTGGGCCCCCAATTTGTCTTTTAAACACAAATCAACACACTACCTGTAGAAATATGTCTCATTGATAATTAATATATTGTTAATATTTATTAATAAATATTATTTTCCAGAAATATGTTGGTAAATTGGTTACTTGAATTTGGAACATATTTTCCAATAGAAACAATATAAAAAAGGTAGTAATATTTCCAGGCTGGCTCATATAAGCTTATTTAATTTAGGAAAGAGCCCAAGTGAAGTAACAACAGTACTACAAAATCCAATTACTCTTCAGGATTTGGCTTAAATGGGAAAATCCATTCAAGATTTGAATGGAAGGTCAGGAATCTGTCTCCTCACTGTGAAATAAGCCAAATGACAAAAGACAGTCTTCTACACCACGTTCTCTCCCTTACAGAGTCCGGCTCTTTCAAACATTCTACCCAGAGGTGAAAGCGTGCTTCAGTGAAGATATTTCTCAGGCTGAGTCCCAGGTAGCTGGAGGAATAGTGAACAAGGGTTGTAAATAGCTGAGGTGATCTGTGAGGTAGGCAATGATTTATAACTATTCCTACTGGATTCTATGGAAAGCAAGGCAAAGTTTCTGACAGTTTTTGAGGAATGAAGGGGCTTCCAAAAAGGCTGTCTCCGAGGATTCAGCCTCTCACAGGGTTTGAGGGCATCAGTGGCTTCTACTGCCCAGGGCTCAATCAGGAGAGATATTGCATGCACCACTTGCATTTTGCTGTTCTTAATTACTGAAGCACCACTATAAAGCTGTATGACTTATGTTCTGAAACTGTACTGGGAATCAGTATTGTTCCACGTCCTTAAGCCCACTGAAATGAAGTAACTGGCATATAGTTTCTAAAGTGTTTAGGACTTACCACCCATCTTGCCACTTGATGACTTTCTAGTTGCTTCATTAGTGAGTAAAGCCTTACGTCTGCTACAGCAGACAGAAGTGCTTGGGCAAGTCTAGGAATCCAAATCTTCATTAAAAAAAAAAAAAGGTTTTAACAAACATCTATTGGTTCACACTGAATTATCATAAGAAATCAACAAGCTGATCCAACTATCAATTGAAAGCCATTCTTAGGACAAAAATAGATATAATGTATTATTCTATTCTTCTGCAAAAATACTTGTTTTTCTAAAAAAATTACATTAATTTTTCATGGAGATACCCAAGGTAGTTTTACTATTCTCATTCTCTCTCTGTAATATATATATAACAACACTGCTGATTTTAATTTAAATAGCCAAGAAATCATTTCATTATGTTAAGGCTCTATTTTAGAAGCCCATTTAGTTATTTTCATTAGCATAACAGTAGGTATTTTTATTTATTTTTCCTTAAAAGTGCAAAAATCTATTTCCTTTATTCCTAGGTAATTTATAGTTTTATGCTATTTTAAATGTTACGTTTCTACAATTACATTAACTATTGGTTGCTGGTATATAGTAATACAATTGATTTATGTATATTGATTTTTTTATTGAGGTAACCTTGCTTTATAACAGTATATAAATTTCAGGTGTACATTATTATATTTTGGTTTCTGTGTCGACCACATCATGTTCATCACCCAAAGACTAATTAACCATCTGTCACCATACACATGTGCCCTATTACCCCTTGGTCCTCCTCCCTCCCCCCTTCCCCTCTGGTCACCACCAATCTCTAATCTCTGTCTCTATGTGTTTGTTTGCTGTTGTTTTTATCTTCCACTTATGAGTGAAATCATAAGATATTTGACTTTCTCCATCTGACTTATTTTGCTTAACATAATACCCTCAAGGTCCATCAATGTTGTTGCAGATGGCAAGATTTCATCTTTTTAATGGCTGAGTAGTAGTCCAATGTGTGTGTGTGTGTGTGTGTATTATATACATAACATCTTCTTTATCCATTCATCCATTGATGGGCACTTAGGTTGTTTTCAAGTCTTGACTAAAAAAGGTATTTTTAAACAAAACATTTACAGTACTGTGTGCTAGGTATCCTACTAAGTACTTTATATATATATCAGGTTATTCAGTCCTCCTAACAATCCTATGAGATACATACTGTTTTATTATGGATATCCTGCATAATTCAGAAGCTAGTAAGTGGCCCTGAAAGGAGAAAAGTGTACACAGCTCCTAACTTCTACCTGTGTCAATGGGAGAAATTCTGCTACTGCTCTAAATTCTCCTTCCTCATGATCTTCCCAAGTGAGGCATCAGTTTCTCAATAATGGGGAATCAAATATCATTGCACAGGGGAGAGTACAATCCTACCTAAAAAAGTCACTCCAGAACTTCTTTCCAGACTTCAAAAAAACTCCCCAGGATTTAGACTGCTTTTGGAATTCTGAGCCACTCCAGGGCCACTTCCCTAACAGAAAATGAGGAAGGCCCCAGCTTCTAAGTCCAATGTGATGACAGCTTAAAGGATCGTAGGAGTGAAGGGAGAGCAACTTTTGCACCATTGTGTTCTTCCTTTGTACCCTCTCCTGGCAATCGACCCCAGAAATTCATGGTCTAGGAATTACAACCTAATTATTACTTATTTATTACTTACTTATTATTGATGCCCAATTACTACATAGCACAGTGATTGTTCATATCATTAAATTTTTTGCCAAATTAATTTTTTCTAAGTTTTGATTTCAATACTAAATCCTGAGTGGGTATATATATATATATATGGATTTAATTTTAATAAGCTCAGCTAACATAGTCTTCTGTTCACAAGTTAAAAAAACAAGATATAACACTGCTCTCAAGTGATTCTTTTATGAAGGAACTTTACTTCTAAAGTCCAAATAATTAATATATAATGTAGTCATTCTGAAAATCTGCATTCTTCACAGGATTGCTCACAGCAGAACACTGTCATGCTCACTCTGTGTTTCAGCACATACTGAAGGGTTACATACCAGAGTCTGCCTTTGGAACCATGGGCTTCCCAGATATGGTCAGAGTTTAGCAACAGTAGCCTTTTAAAACCAAACTTCATGATATCAATAATATCATTTAGTTAATATATGTTAGCCTTTAAGAAAGGATGGAATAAATCTACTTTTAACAACATTTTGATTACTTTTATTTAAACTTACCAGCAATTGAACATTATCTTTCCCCAAAAGATGCAGAATCTTGTAAATGCTTGCAAAGATTAAGGGGTAAGTGTAACCCCTCAATCTTTCTGTCCATTCCCAGGTCAAATAGCCATAATTAGTAATATTAAGGACTAATGTTAAATAGCTTTGAAAGAAAACCTATTTTCATTTCATGTATAAAACTATTTTTTGACAAAGAAGCTTAAAAACACAGCATTTTACAACAGATATTTGAATTAAAAATGCAATTGGCCAACTAAACTCTTAACTTCTTCAAGGCAGGAATGTGTTTTTTACTTCATCTATATCCTCCACAGTACTGAGCACTGTAGTTGTATATGCTAAAGGTTACATCAAGTACATTAATCAAAGAAAGATACAGAAGAAATATTAGCATGAAATAATAAACTACTCTGATAAGTTAAAATTATTTGGAGAAAATATGGAAAATTGAAAATATGTAATAGTAACTGACAGAATGCCTAAGGTGAACGGACATTCCTAGTCTAAGAAAGAAACTACAAAGGATATTTGAAAACCATGTGATGTGCAACTTCAAGAGACTGCCAGTATTCATCTGGAACAAAACTTGTCTGGACTAAAAAGCAGTTGCATATTCGGAATGCGATGGTAAACAAGACCAGATAAATGCTTTCACCAAGAAGATCTGAAAAACAAAACAGGTAGTTGTGGCACAAAAGTTGGACAAGTTTCACTTGCAGAACTAAAATCTGCTGCTCTGGTTGGCCCCTTGCTCTGCCTCTGTTAAGGCACAGTAGTGAACTCTGGCCCCTCCATACTATCTCAGAGCAGACCTAAGGCAGAAAGTTACACAAGGGCCAGAGCCTCTCACTGTGATGACCACTCGTTTCATTTAACCAATTTTGCTTGCAACTTAGTGTATAAAAAGAATATTAAGACAAATATTGAAAAAGAGATTGGGTTAACTAAGGCCTTAGGCTAATTAGGTTATCCTATATGTGTATCTAATGAAAGAAACCAGCTAACAATTTACTAACTTAGGAAGCAACTCTTTGTATACGTGCCAAACAGTAGCATACAAAAGGGCCCTCTCTCTGTTTTTACATAGCCCTGACTGATGCTCAAGATATGCCAGGCACTAAGTTCATTCCTTTACATGCCTTATCTCATTTAATCCTCAAAACAGTGCTAAGGGGTAGGTATTATTAGCCCATTTGACATATGAGGAAACTGAGGCACAGAAGTTAAATTGCCTTGCCCAAAGTCAAAAAGGTTGTAAATGACTAAAAAGGATTCAAAATCAAGTCCGTCTGCTGACTCCAAAGCTGTGCAGCTTGTAGGCTGAATACAAGAGTATTTTTTTTAATTTGAATTTAGTTGCCAACATTTAAAAATCAGATTTTATATTAAAATCTGTATTGCAGCATTTCAAAACTAAGATCTGGCAACACAGAGCTTAAGTGGCAACAACTGGCTGGTGGTGAGATATAGGGCGCACTGACTTATTTAGCCTTGCCTGTCTGGCCTCCTGAGTGTTTCAGTTTGCAACCTGCCCCTGATCCACTGTGAGTCTTTGCTATCATTCTGGGTTCCTGCCATTCTCCTTCCTTTTTCTCCAGGAATACATGTTAAACGTTTCTCAACTGGTACATTCAATATCACATACATGCCCCATCTACACTTTCATCTTCCAGAAACACTTAAACCTCCCAAGTGAACTCTCTCTCCTGTCAGAAAACCTTGTTGTTCTTTCCTTTCCCCACTTTGAGGACTTAGGCAGAAGAAACAATACTCAGAAGTGACCCTTGAACAAGTGATCTTGAAAACCTAAAAGTTCACCTGTACGTCTGTGACAAGTACGGTAATTTACCGTCGTTACCATTCTTTACCCTGATGGGATCCAACTTCGAACAAGGCAGGTGGCTTAGGGGAAGGAAGCGAGGGAACTGGGCCCAGCTGCCTCTCCTTTTCCCCCATCACAATCCTCTCTTCATTTAGCAAAACGATTCTCCTCTTTCCTGTTCTCAGATTTCCAGAGGGGGAAGTAGGCACTTGTATAGCGCTTAGCCTGCGCTTGGCACATAAATGGCGCGCAATAAATATTTATTGAATGAACGAGGAGTCCATTTTTACTTAAATACCCCCTAATAGATCAAAATCCCACCTGCTGGGGTGACTTTTCTCCTGTCAACATCACATCAGGAACAAAGAGAAGGCAGAGGGGGACAGTGGGAGAAAGAAATGCGGCAGGAGTGAGACCTGGTCCCACTCCAGGAGCCAGCCCCTCCGTCGCTTCGAAACCTTGGGTAACTCCGGGCTTGGGTGCCCCTCTCTAAAGTGGGGATGGCCACATCATGCCTACTTTTTTCACCAGGTCGCGGGGAGGACGGCATCAAATAATGCAAAATATAGAGTCGTGGAAGCGGCAGGGATCGAGAACCCTGTCTCAAGCGCACTGCGATTCTTGGCAACCCTGTCTAGCAGATGGAGCCCTCGCTCAGATTCCGCGGCTTCCGCCACGCTTCTCCCACCCCGGCACTCACCTCCGCGTCGTCCCGGACTCTCCTGGGGGCTGAGGTACAAAGTCGACTTTCTCTTTCGCAGCTTCATCTTTTCGCGGGAGCGGTTCTGGAGACCGCGGAAAAAGAGTCTGCCGTCGCCGCCCTCTCGCTGCATTCTGCATCTGCTTCGAGGTCCGCTGAGGATCCCCGGCCATCACATTCTCCCACAGAGGAAGGCCGATGTTGCGCGCGCTGCTCTTCCGCTAAGTTTGGCCTCTGCGAGCAGCCGTCGCCCGCAGGCGCGGAGGTAGCCGGGAAAGGGCACGTGCCTCACCGCCAGCACCGAAGGTATTCTCTGCTGCTGAGAGCAGCGGCTTTGGCTCTCGTTAGTAGGCTTTGCCGCGGGCTGGCCTGCGCTTTTCTCCTTCGCCATTTCCTTCTCGCGGGGTCGCTGCCTGTCTGTCTTCGTGGTCTCTGCGCCCGCGGTCCGCATCCTCTCCTGGAAGAGCTGGCCGTCACTTCTGCGGGGGCAGGCGGGGAGCGGCGCGGCGACGCGGCGGAAGAGCTGAAAGGTCAGAGGTGTCTGCGCGGCAATGGTAACAGTGTGGATAGTTAGACACGTAAGTGTGTAGCGTTTCGCTGTTTGGGTGACCTCACAATAACTATTTGTTAACGAAGTAGGCGGGCGAGGGATGATTTAGCTGTTGTACAGATGTGGGAAACGAGGCTCAAAAAGGGTAAATAGCTTGCTCAGGATCACTTAGCGAGTTAGTGGCAGAAGGGGAACCTTCCCATTTCCGTGTGGTTTGTCCATTTTCCCAAGAGCTGACTTGCAAATAGCTTTTTTTTTTTTTTTTAACATTTAAGAGCCGTTGAACCAAAGCATGCTTGGTGAAGTTGTCGTTTATCTAGCTAACTGTGGAGTCCGGGAGAGAACAAGCTTTTCTTCCCTAGATTAAATTTCATTTGAGCGATATTAAAGGCAAGCTAGCTTCTAGTACCGGTTCTGCCACTACTGACTTTTGTGACCTCGGGGGCTGATCTAGGAGGCCGAGAAGTATTGTTACAATAAAGAAAATATGTAAATCCTTCACATTGCTTTCCTCATTCATAAACAGCTACCTAGTTTCTCCAGAGACTAAGATAGTTGGCGCGCGATATAACTTTCCGAGAAGTACTAGTCTTAACTCCTCAATGGTTAAAAGTAAGACTAGCCACATCTCCGTTATATTTCTGTCACAAATGAATGGCAAATGATTTCTATTGGATGTCTGCTTGTACCTACTAAAGCATCAAAAGGAATTCATAAAGTCTTTTAGCCTGTTAAAAAAGAATTATCATATATGTTGCCAAAAAGCATGAAGTAATACAAAAAGGGTTAATAATGAAAAGGAACAGTTCTTTTTCTCTTCCTTCCAGATGGGATTGACAATCATTTTCAGCTTGTTTTGGTTCTCTCTTTTAGTTAGTTTTATGGTATGCCTTTAAAGGTGCAAAGAGTATACTTTGCTGCCTCAGTTTTGCCATTTTTTAAGTTATCCTTTTAAAACGGTTGAGAACATTCTGCAATAGAAGAGTATTTAGCTTTGGCCTACACCATCCCCTAACCCTCATTTCCCATACTCCTTAAATATTTATATTCCTAGTTTAGTTAAATCAATAAGTGATATTTACATATTATGAGAAAAATATTGTTCACTCCTGAGCAAAGTAGTGATGTGAAATCTTTAAAAAGGATATTGTGCTAAGTTATTGCTTTGCTTCCCATTCTCTTTGTACACAGATCTGAAGAGATCTCCTGGATGTGGAGTGTAATTTCTCATAGCCACCTTTGCGCTGTGCGGTTTGTTGAAAAAATGTTTGGAAGGTTGACTCTTCCACAACTGCTCTTTGCTAGCATCCTTGGAATTGCTGGAGGAATATATATTTATCAACCAATATTTGAACAGTATTCCAGAGATCAGAAGGAATTAAAAGAAAAGTTGAAATTGGCACAAGAATCAGAAGAGAAGAAAAGTTAGTACTACGTGGAGTTGAACTGTAATTGCTTAAGGTTCTATTAAAATTATACATTGACTATAAATAATCCACTAAAAACTGCTTGATATATTTTAAACGTAAATAAATCATATGTGATGATTTTAAATGACTTTTTAAACCAGCACTCTCAATTTTAACGTTTACTGTACTTTTATTTGCCATTTTATGTCTTTTCACCAGGACAGATTAGTAATTTCTTTGTCAGCAAAAATGAATGTCTTGAGGAATATTTTGTTTCCTAGTCAAGGTTTGTTTTTCTGGGATTGCAGAATATACAGTATCGTAGGGTGACAGTGTAGACTGTATTTATAAAATAGCTGTGAACAGTGTTTACAGTTGTATGTGTAGATGAAGTGAACCAAGTGAACCAGCTCAGACGGAATGCCCCTCAATTAGCCTACACTCAGCCTGGTTCAGTATACTTTGGCAGTCTTTCACCGCCAGCCATGTCTCATCCCAGGCATGATGGAGGTGTAAATGGAGAGTTGGGGTGGCTCAGATCAAATGGAGGTTTTAGAGAAGATAGATGGTGTATATAGGGTAGCAAATATGACATATCTGTTTAATGCACTAAGCAAATTTGCATTAATAGTAGCGGTAAAGGAGGGGTTACTTTGTTATGGAGCTGTCACTCATATAGGGAAAGAGATTTTGGAAATTGCTAAGAACTGCTATTACTTTTTTACCCTAACAGTCTTAAGCATGTATTTTCAATGAGAGCTTTAAGTGTAATCACATATGTATAAAATGCTCTATTTAAATCAACTTATTTTTATTATTATTTTTTTCTCAAAAAGTAAATTCATCACAGCTTAATCTGAGCTGTCTGTGTTGAGTGGAACCCAGGATGGGTAATTAAAAAAAAAAGTGAAGAAAAAATTATGAAAATAGTACATGGTCATTAATAACTTTATACAGTACAGAAATTAACAAAATGAAAATTATCAATGTATATATTGGTTTAGTCAGCACCTTTAACAGTTTAGTGTGAGCTTTTGAGACTGTTTTTCGTCTATGCACATAAAAATATATGTAAAAATTTTACTTCATGTACCAAGTATCTACTATGTGACAGGCTTGGCTTTGCTTGACTACAGGTAGACTGGGGTTCTGTTCTGTGTGTCTTCTCATCGTGGGACCCAGGCTCAAGGAGCAGCCCCTATCTGGCTTATGACAGAGTAGAGGATTGAGAGACAGAGACTGAGAGGAAACGTGAAATTGTAAGGTTCTGCTCAAATGTGGCAAATGTCACGTCTTCTCATATTCTGTTCATTTAGAGCATGTCAAGCCCAAAGTTAAGGGCAGAAACAGACTCTTTGCACACGATGCAATCAAGTCACTTGACAATAGGCAGGAATACATAATCCTCTTATATCCAAGGAGTGATAATCTTAACATCAAGGTAAATTGAACTGCTTTTGATCCTCTTTTTGAGAAGGATGCATTGGTCAGTGTAGGAGTCACATACCAAGTTGCCAGAGGATGACTTGATTTTTTTTTTCCCCAGTAAAGATACTGCAGCTGTTCAAATCAAATCCATAGTAAGATACAACTTCACATACACTGGGATGACTACAGTAAAAAGACAGAAAATAGTAAATGTTCAGCGAGAATGCAGAGAAAGTAAAACCCTCATAAACAGTGTAGCTGCTGTGTAACAGTTTGATAGTTCATCAAAAAGTTAAACATAGTGTTACCATATGGCCCAGCAATTCTACTTCTATGTCTGTCAATAATGGATAAACTGGTATATCCACACAGTGGAATATTACTCAGCCATAACAAGGAATGAAATAGATACATGCTATAACATGAATAAACTTTGAGAACATAAAGAAGCTGGGGGCAAGAGACTATGTATTGTATGAGTCTTTATATGACATATCCAGAACAGGCAAAGCATAGAGAGAAAGTAGATTAGTGGCTTCCAGGGACTAGGGGAAAGAAGGGAGAAAAAGGGTTTCTCTTTAGGGTGAGGAAAATGTGATCAGTGACAACTTTGTGAATAATATTAAAAACCACTGAAGCATATACTTTAAAAGGGTGAACTTTATTGTGTGAGAATTATCTCTCAAAGCTGTCAAACAACAAAGATGCTGCATCCAGAATAGCAACTGCAATTGAGGTAGTCTGTTCTTTTCTACCACAATCCACATAGGTTTGTTTTTTGTGGTAAAATATGCATAACAAAATTTACCATTTTTAAGTGTACAGTTCAGCACCAGTGAGTACGTTCACATTGTTGTATAACCATCATCACTATCCATCTCCACAGGTCATCATTTTCCATCTAGTTTTCGTAAGGCCCAGGGAGGTGAATTGAATGGGGGCTAGATATAGAGATGCCCTACCCTATATCCTTCACATCTTTGAAGGTGGCATTAATGTCTGCAATTCTTTGCATGAATTACTTCTAATTTACTATCTTAGCCAAGGAAGCAGGTTCAGGGGCTTTCAGTTGGTCCTTTCTACAATAAGGGTTTGGTATGGACTGAATGTGTCCCCTGTCCCCTATTCATGTGTTGAAGCCCTAATCCCTACTGTGAGGGTGTTTGGAGGTGGGGCCTTTGGGAGGTAACAGGTCATGAGAGTAGAGTCCTTCTGAATGTGATCAGTGCCCTTATAAGAAAAGATGGAAGAGATGATCTCTCCGCCGTGGGAGGATACAGCCAGAAGGTGGCTGCCTGCAAACCAGGAAAGAGGCCTTCTCATCAGACACCAAATCTGCCATCACCTTGGTCTTGCACACCCCAGCCTTCAGAACTGTGAGAAGTGAGTATCTGTTGTTTAAGCCATCCATTTTATAGCAGCCTGAGCAGACAGGCAGGGCTTTTCCTGTAAGGTCAATGTGAGGGCTCTGCCAGTTACTGAATAATATATTTATCTCACTCATGGACTTGGGATGGGGGTGGAGAAACAACAGAGTGGATTCTGTAAGATGAATTTGGGCCAAACTGCATTTATCCTTTCACCTCCATGAGCCTCCACTCTAACTGAAGGACTATGGTGACGTTAAGCCTCCGTGTACCAGTATCAGCTCAGATCATGTACCCAGCAGGCATCAAAGTCTGGGTATTCCTCTTTCTCCAATGCACGTTTATCCTGGGTAATGGCCTTGGGTGTCTTGAAAGGAGCAGAGGAATGTTTATTGTATATTCTTGTGGCATTAAACAGTTTATTCCTTAGGTGAATACAGCTTCAATCATTGGCTCTAAGTCTATAAAATGACTTAAATCGGGGAGCTGATGAGACCATGATTTCCATTGTGGGCAGACACACAGCCTTCCACTCACTAGTTCTTGATTTCCTTTTAAGGAAAGTATGCAAGTCAAGAATCACCCCTCCTCCTCCGAAAATGAAAAACACCCCATCTATCTTTCCCTTCAGAGCACCATCATCCATTAGCCATTTCCACAGATCCCTGTGGGTCAACACCCTGGCTACACTCCAGTCTTGCTTCCATTATGTTAGTTATGTCCTGCCATGTGTCCTTCGCCATTTGGGGATTCTTTTATTTCTAATTGATACTAGGGAGCCCTGTTGGAGCAGCATCTTCTACGTCAGTCACAGCCCAAAAGGACAACCACCGTTGTCCTTTTTTAGAGATGGTGGCCTCCTCATCAGTGTGTGTATCCTCACCAGTGTCTCAGTGAAAGGAGTATCATTGGGGCCTTCCCACGTAACACAATCAGGTGGTGGTTTCTGCAGTCTCATCACAAATCCTTTCTATCCCCAAGGTCAGGAGGGCAGGATAGGGGGAGTAAAAAAGTTAGAGGGAAAGCCAAGACAATGATAGATTTTCAAGTTGGCTACTAGACTTGATCATATGGGATTTTCTAAAGAGACTTTTTAAAGGTTTTTTTTAAAGATTTTTTTCTTTTTCTCCCCAAAGCCCCCCGGTACATAGTGGTGTATTTTTAGTTGTGGGTCCTTCTAGTTGTGGCATGTTGGATGCCACCTCAGCATTGTTTGATGAACGGTGCCATGTCCGCGCCCAGGACTCAAACCAGTGAAACCCTGGGCCACTGAAGCGGAGCACGTGAACTTAACCACTTGGCCACGGGGCTGGCCTCCTAAAGGTTTTTTTTAGCTATTATTTTGAAATAATTTCAGACTTAGAGAAAAGGTGCAAAAATGGTACAAAGAATTTTCATATACCTGTTACCCAGTTTCTACAAATATCATTTTACCACATTTGCTTTCATCTTTCTCCGTATATATGTATGTGTATACACACAAACACATTATTGTTTTTCTAAACCCTTTAAGACTAAGTTGCCCACATGATACCCTTTTACCCCTAAATATTTCAGTGTACAATTCCTAAAAACAAGGATGTTCTCTTTCATAATTCCAGTATAATGATCAAGATCAGGAAATTAGATTGGTACACTATTATCTAATCTCAGATTTTATCCAAATTCTACCAAGTCACATTAATGTGACAAATCTTTTTCTAGTGCAGGAACTAATTCAGGATCATATTTAAATTTAGTTGTTATGTCTCTGGTTTCATTTATTATGCTTCCTCAATCATTGCCTTTCACAATCTTGACATTTTTAAATACTGGTCTGTTTTGTAAAATGTGCTTTTAATTTAGGTTTGCTTAATGCTTCTTCATGATTAGAAGATACAGGCTATGCATTTTTGGTACGAATACTGCAGAAATGATGTGTCAGTATGATTCACAGATTCCTATTTTATTTCATGAATTACAATTCATTACTATCACCAGGGCTGGCTGCATGATTTGTGGGGACCTGGGTGGGGATGAGGACTCATAGTCTTCTCATGGCGAATGGGCAACTCCCAAGGGATTGCAGCCTCCATGCTGGGGCATTCTTGATTCCCTGGTGGTGGTGGTAGGAGGCCCCTGCCAAGTGGCACGCGGACTCAGACTAGACTACCAGACTAGGGCAGGGACACCTGCCTTCTTGCCTGTCCCATCGTGCTGTCAGAGTATGCACCCAGCCCTCATGCCCCCTGTCCCCAAGCCCAGGGAGGAAGATGACAGTGGAATGTGGGCCTCCCCAAGCCAGGGTGACCCAGTCACTGCCCTGGGGCAAGGCGGTGAATGCAAGGCTGGGCAGGACCCAGGGGGTTAGGAATGGGCAGTGGCAGGAGTCAGAACCATGTGTGAGCAGAGGCTTCAAGCCTCCTACATGCTCCATTGTGCCATCAGATTTCACTTATAAAACACAAAGATAAAATTATGAAGAATTTCAAGATGGTGACTGCAGAGCATTAAAATTCTGAGCTCAGGACGCTGTGAGATGTACCAGTTGCATGCCCGTGAAGCTAACCCTGACAATGACTGTTTATTTTGATGTTCAAATTGTCCCAGATTTGGCCAGTGGGAGCCCCTTCAAGTTGGTGCCTGTGTCTTTTTATAAATGTTTATTTCAAATACAAGAAGTAATGTTTAAACGTTATCTGAAAATAATTTTGCAGTTTAACAAGTATAAAACAAGACTTCTTAAAGATGGTTTACAACTAGGTATAAATACTTAAGACTATACTTTGACATTCACTGTGGGCATTTTTGAAAAATAAGTTTTGTTAATGTAGCTTAAAACAAAAGTATATTTATAATCCCAGTTAAAATAAGCAAGGCCTTAGCTGAGGAAGAGTCCTCTCCCAGGATGGATCCTGTGTCCTTTTGACATGTCCCTGTCGTCTTTTGAGCACTCCTTTGCTTTCTTGTTCATCCTTTTCTTTCCTAGACCAAGCTTTGAATCAAGGACTATTGGTTCTTTTTTAAAAATTGAAACAAAATTTACATAACAAGAAATTAACCATTTTAGATTGTACAATTCGGTGGCATTCAGTGCATTGACAATGTTGTGAAACTATCATCTCTGTTAAGTTCCAGGACATTTTC